CTGCAGCGGGCGGCCACCCTCCCCCCACCCCATCTCTCCTCCTCCCCCTCTCGCATGACTCAGTGGGCCCATCCTGTTGACAGTTCACTCAGGGTGGGAGGTGGACAGCCCAGAAGGCCCTGCTCGTGGCCCCTGGGACCCTCCCTGGGGGGCATCTGCGGGATGGGGGCCTGATTTCCCCAGCCACTCCAGCAGGCCCCGGGACTGGACTCTGTGTCTTCGGCTGGGACAGAGCAGAAGGTCCACAGACGTCCCTCGGATGAACCCTAAATGAACTTCCTTCCCCTCTGGGTTTGAAAGAGGCCGTGTCTCCTGGACTTCAGAACACAAAAGGCAATGCATCTTCTTCGGACAGATCTTTGCCTGAGCGCTTGAGAAATGGGACCCCTTCCTCCCCAGCTTCTAACATTGTTCTCTTTAGAGTAGAATGTGTTTGCTTTATAAAAGGTGCTGGAAACAACACGGGTTTGGGGGCCGATTCCCTCTGGGCTCAAACCCAGGCTCTGCCACTTCCTCACTCGCGTGGCCTCGGACAAGTGACTCAGCCTCTCTGAAGTCAGCTTCCTCACTCTGAAAATGGGATGATGCCATCCTCTGCGTGTTGCCCTGAAAATGGAGCGAGGCCACCCAGCCAAGCGCCTCCTGCAGCATCCGTCTGCTGGCACACAGCCCGTCAGGTGCCCAGCCACACCCAGGCCATCCCAGGGACCCACCCCACAGGGATGCGTGCCGTGAGGCCCTTCATAGAGGGCTGGCTGTGAGCTGGGGGCATGGGGGCCTGGCTGCGGGCTCGGGGCCCGTCCTGCAGGCACAGGGGGCTGGCTGCAGACTGGCGCCCATCCTGTGCCAGTCACTCCTGCCAGGGGAGGCTGACGCGCGGTCTAGTCTGCAGACTCAGAAGCTGCTCTCCCAGCCTTTGCAAGCTGTGCTTTGGGAGTTCCTACAGATTTGCGGGACTGTTGCTTTCCTCCCCGCAAAGGCATCATGAACCACGTCTCAGCTTACGAATGGTCTGGTTGGAAGAATTTAAGGTCTCTAATGGGGCGGGGTGGGGGCGGTGGCTAGCTGGTGCAGGGCCTGGCTCTGGTCCCAGGTGACCTTCGGCAGGGTGCATGCGTGCCCCACAGCCACTCTGGGCACGACAGGAAACCAGCCCGAAGCTCTCCGAGTCTCCCGATTGTGGAAATGACTAGGGCCCTGTAAACGTAGCCAAGGAGACGGTCAGATGTCCTCACAGACCCCCACTGCCGAGGGCACGGAGCCAAATCTTAAAAGCATTTTGCAGAGAGGGAATTCTCGGAATGCCTTCCCTGGAGGGCCGCTGGGGGAAGCTGCACATTTGTAGTCCCAGGTCCTCCGACCAAGTCCAGGGTCGTCCGTCCCAGCCCTCCACGCCCAGGGCTGTCCGGGACCAGAGCCCAACGTGATAATTCGAACAATAATAATAACCACACATCATGAAAAAGGAGCTTCTCTACCAAGTCAGAGACAAACTACAAACTTTCGGAAACTCCTCCTCTCCTCTTCTACAAATTTAAGATAATTACTTGGAAATCAGTATTGAAGTATTTGTCCCGATTTTTGTTGTTGTTAACCCTTTTTAAAAATCCCTAAGAATTCCAGGCTTAACGATAATGATCAATGTCTAGTAGTAATGTGTTGGATAGGAAACATACATGACACTCGACATATGTATGAATTTTTAAAAACATGGCATCAGCGGTGCCTGGGTGGCTCAGTGAGTTAAAGCCTCTGCCTTCAGCCCAGGTCATGATCCCAGGATCCTGGGATTGAGCCCCGCATCCGCATCCGGCTCTCTGCTCAGCAGGGAGCCTGCTTCCTCCTCTCTCTGCCTGCCTCTCTGCCTCCTTGTGATCTCTGTCTGTCAAATAAATAAATAAAATCTTAAAAAAAAAAAAAAAGTGGCATCATCACAGCACGTCCTGGTTTGGTGGGGAAAGACGTCGAAATACTCCCAGCCTGGATGCAGAGATTGGGTGACTGGGCGGGATCGCCCAGCAAGCAGTGTTTGTCTGCATGAAAAGCATTTTGGGAATGATTTTTACATTAAAGAAAAAATGGAACCATGGAACCTTACTGCTGGGTCCTGTGCTCTCACACCCAGTTATTCTAGAACATTCTGAAGAAAAATTTGGGAACCCCGCTCTTACTGTTTCTTCCCTGCCACCGTGGGACTCACCTGGTCCAAGGTTCAGAGTGATGCCTTCTAGAGAATTCCAGGCAGTCGGCTGTCTCTGGTGGGTCTCTGGTGGGTTGATGTGAAGATGGTCTCGTACAGGGGGCAGGGTGAGAGCCCAGCTCGGGAACAAGGGCCAGGACCCATGCACTGAGACCTGAGCCCCCACTCCCCTCACCTGCTCACAGAAGCTGAATTCAAAGCAGCGTGTTTCCCTTTTAGGAGTGGTTAAAGCAGAGAGCAGCTGCCGTGAGTGTTGGAACTCACCGTGTCTTCGAAGGTTTGATGGTGAGGAGAGTCATTTCTGGGCAGCAGGGAGATGGGGTGGTGGAAGGAGCACCCTGGGAGCAAGGAGTGTCGCCAGCTGGGGCCGTGAATGACCGGGTCCTCCACGCAAGGTATGAACGGGCCTGGGCACAGGGGGCAGTGGCTGGGAGCAGAGTCAGAAGGAGCCTGGTCTTTTCCTAGATTGTAAATGTCGAAGTTTCTATCACGTATGTGTTGGCCAACAGCATTTTCCTACAAGCCCGTGCCATTCCTCATTACCCCTCAATTTGCTTCCACCCAGAAGGAATGCAGAATCTCTGTGTTTACATTCCCCTTGCAGAAACTTCCAGCAGCGTGACGAATTCCAAACCAGGGCTGGTTGCTAGTTTACAGTTTGCTACGAGCCTCCGAATGAGCCTGTGGGTGAGCGTGCCTGGGAGACACGGCGGTGGAGTGAGACAGGTTCCACCGGTCACACGGGGCGGGCTCTCTGGTAACCGCCAACACGTGTCACCTTGCCTGCCCGGGGAGCCACAGAGCCCCAGGTATCTAGTTATCCCTGTTATTCTGGCACGGGGGCCCGCAGCACTTGAATTATTCAGCTGCATGGATTTGGCGACAGATCAGAAAATAATGATTTGTTTCTTGCAAATGAGAAGAGATTTCTGCAAGAAGGAAAGCATGGCCCACCCCCCAACCCCCGCCATTGAACTAGTGTCAAGTGACCAGGTAGCTCACAGGATCGCTCTGCTTCCACTTTCTGATATGGGACTTGCCAAGTAAGGTCTCGTCCCCCACCCCTACCCCAGCTCACCTGGGCACTCTCTGCCAGCTTCCTGTTCTGTTTCCCACAAGGGCTCTCAGACTAGCTGCCTCCCAGTCCCTTCCTCTTTTTCAAAGAAAGTCAGGCCCCTTGGGTGTAAACTCCTTTGTCCTTCTGCTGCTCCCTGCCCGCAACTTCAAACTCGCCTTCCTCCCTCTCTCCTGGCCTCCCACCGCTAAGCAAGAAATATCGCCTTTTCCTCCCTGCCGTGCACCAGGCCTGGTTTAAACTGTTTTCTTGCACCCTTGGGATCACCTTCTAGCTGGTTTGTCCACCCCCTCCCCCTTCCTTCCAACCTGGTTTCCACCTGCTGCTGGAAGTGATATTTGTAAAATTCTTTTTTTTTTCACTCTGTGCTTAAGAGAGCTTGTTCCTTCTCCTTTTCCATGGCACAATCCACTATCCATCCTCTGGAGGCCTCAGTTGCAGCTTCTGCCCACCTCCCGACTACCTTCAACTCTCATACCCACTTGCCCTCTCTGCCTCAGGGCCTTTGCACACACACACACACACAAACGTGCACGCGTGTATATATTTTCATATACCCTTGTACTGACCTCCCCCCTTCTGGGAGGTGCCTCCCTCCTGTCTTTAGCATCTGTGGTTCTCTTTGCTCTACTCTTCCCAGGGCCTTTGCATAGTAAGTGTCCAAAATGGCACCATCCTGTGAACCAGATCTAGGTTCCTAATCCCTGATCTGCCAAAGCAGCCTGTCTCCTTAGCAAACTCCCCTCTGGACCAGTTTCCAAGGTTTTTCTTCCCCAGCATAGTGGCGGGGAGGGGCTGAGGTGGAACCGGGGAGGACCCTTCATGTGGCCACTCCAAGGCCAGCATCCCCACTGATGTTATCAAGGAGGCTGGTGCCCCCGGAATGCTGTGGGAGAGAAGGCTAAGCGCTGGGGTGCAGCCAAGCCAACTGAAGGTCAAATCCGTCTCCTAACAGCTGCAGAAAATACATGAGAATCACTATTTTGTGATTTAGGCCTTTCATCCGGCCTTGGAGAATCTTGGGCTAGTGTTTTGTGGGATTTCCTACTAATAGGAGTTGAGTCTGCAAGGTGAGGGGCGCAGAAGTCATGCCTCGCAGGCACACACACACACGTGCACAAAATTCTTAACAAATAACACATCCCTGCAGAGTTGGGGCGTTTTTCCTAAGACCCTCCTTGGGCAGGAGCACGCAGCCCCCGAGGCGAGGCTCCAGGACCTCCAGACTTCAGGGTGCAAGTTGTGGATTTCTAGGGACTTTCCAAGTACGTTAAAGCCAAACAGTGTCTCGTTGTTGGGCAGATGGTGACCCTAGAAATCATCCTTCCACGCGCACAGGCGCGCACTAAAGCCAAGCCAGCCGGCCGCACCGCAGGCCTGGGGTCCAGCTACCTGGAAAGCCCCGCTGGGGGAAGCCGGTCTCCACGCCTCCGTCCCCGCCACGGCCGGCGACAGTCGCCAGAGGGCCGAGCGGCGCGCGCACGTGGCGGGGCGGGGACCCGCAGGCGCGCGAGGCCGCGGGGCCTTTAAGGGGCCGGAGGGGCGGGGGGGCGGGCCTGGGGGGGGACGCGTCCGGGAGGGCCCGGGCGCTGGGGCGGTGTTGGCCCCGCAGGCCCCGCCCCCGCCCCAGGCCCCGCCCCCGCCCCGCCCCGCCCCGGCCCGAGCCTCCTCCGGCCACTGCTGGGCCGCTGGCGGGACGCCTGGGGCGGCGCGCGGAGGAGGAAGCGCGCCGGCCGCGGCCCGGGACCTGCCCAGACGCGCTAGTCGGGATCGGCGAGCGCAGCGTCCCCATTTTCCAGGCGTGCGGGGCCGGGGCGCAGTCCCGGGCCGCGGCCGTCGTGCGCCGGCCGGCATTTCCCCTCCAGCTCGCCCCGCGCGGCCGCCCGGCCTCCGGGCCCGCGCCGCCAGCCGCCGACCCAGATCCGCCGCGCCCCCCTCCACGCCCCCCGCGAGCCCGGCCGGCCGCGCGCTCATGCCCTGAGCTCGCCGCCCGCGGGCTCTGCGCCCCCGGCCGGGGGGCTGCCCTGGCAAGTTGGGGCGAGGCGCGCCGGGTATGCGCCATCACCATGTCCCGCCTGAGCTCGTGGCTCGGGGAGGTCCAGTGGCTGGTCTTGGTGTCGCTCTTCGTCGTGGCCCTGGGCACGGTGGGCCTGTACCTGGCACAGTGGGCGCTGGCCAGGGCGCGACCCCGGCCCCCGCGGCGGGCTGCCGAGCCTGGAGAGGGCCCGCGCCCCGAGTCCGACGCGCTGCTCGCCTGGATCCTGACGCTGAACAGCTGGAGGAGCCAGTGGCAGGCCGCCTGGGTGACCGCCCTGAATGATGAGGCCAAACGGAAAGTGGTGAGTGTCTGAGGGCGGGTCGTAGCTGCGAGGCTGATGGCTCGGTGCCGGCACTTAGGGCCGAGCTGGTCCCCGGAGCCTCGCCACCGCCCCGGACCGGTGGAAGTGAGCCTTCCCCGCGGCAGAGCGTTCTTGAAAGTTGGGAGAAGGACCCGGGGGGGGGGCCGAGGACCCTTGATGGGGAATCAAGACAAAGCTTAGATGGTACTCACCGCCCATCAGGTGTGCCAGGCTTCGGTCCCCATGGCAGGGACACGTGGGACCTGGAGGGACTTGTCAGGGGGCCACTGCCCTTCCTGGAGTCCCAGGTGGGTTCCCGCACCCAGCTGAACACTTTCTCCTCCCGCACCTGATCGATGAATAACCGTGACCCAAATATGATTCCATCTACAGAAATGAATTTTTTCCAGAATGTTTCCAAAAGGTTTGCACCCCTTGGCTTATAGAGGTAGTGGCTTTCGTCGAGGGCCAAGCACCTGCCAGATGTTGTCTTGGGGACTTGCGGTGCGTAGATCTTCTCTTTGGACCCTCACGACTCCTGGGGCAGAGGTGTCATCCACATTTCACAGGTGGGGGGACTGAGGCCTAGACAGGTTAGCTGACCTGCCCAAGGTCACATGGCCTGAGGGTAGCAGAGCCCGCTCTGAACTCTGCTGCCTCCTGCCTCCAGGCTGGGGGGCTCACTGCCTCGCTCTGCTGCCGCAGTCTCTTGAGGTGGTTTCTTCCACGGTTCGTCCCTTGGTGACTTGTTTTTACTTTTAAGACCTCTTCATTTCATGACAAGCTCCGGGTGTCTGCAATATCTGGGCATTCCGGAGAGGGATGAAGGCCTGGTGTGTTTGGGGAAGTCCCCACCCGCCACCGCTCATCACCTTTGCCTTCGCGTGCCTCCACATGCCCGCGAGGCTCCGTGGAGAAGCCTGTGACCATTCGCTTTAAAAGTATGTCTGGAGGGGCGCCTGGGGGGCTCAGTGGGTTAAGACTCTGCCTTCGGCTCAGGTCATGGTCTCACGGTCCTGGGATCGAGCCCCACATCGGGCTCTCTGCTCGGCAGGGAGCCTGCTTTCTCCTCTCTCTCTGCCTGCTTCTTTGCCTACTTGTGATCTTTGTCTGTCAAATAAATAAATAAATTAAAAAAAAAAAAAAAAAAAGCACGTCTGGACCCCTGGCCCTCAGAAATACTCCGTAGCCAGCCTGCTGCTGGTCTTTGCGCCGTGGTCTTGACTCACATGGCCATGGACTGAAAAAAACAAAGTCTTTGAGTGTCAGTGAGTATAAACTCATCAGCTCAAAAGACCGTGTTCTGAACTATTGAAAAAATTCACTATACCTTTTGGGTGAAAAAAGCCTTCAGGGGCAGTTGACTGCCGTCCATCTTGATGCCTAGAGTCTGTGCCCAGCTGTCCAGAGCGGGACATGTCCCATTCAGGGAAACCGCCCCATCTCTCCCCCAAGCCCCTCTTTGAAGCCCCAGCCTGGGGCTCGAACTCACAACCCGGAGATCAAGCGTCGCATGCTCTACCCAGTGAGCCAGCCAGGTGCCCCGGAACCACCCCATCTCTAGGGGGGAGACCTAAAGCCAGGAGACCTCACACATGTGAGCAAACACAGATTTGTTTCCCCAGGAAGCTCCCTAGCTGACCTGGTGTCACGGGCCTGGGCTCTGTGGCTGAGTTTCCTTTGGGCTGGTGGTGTGAACAGGTGGGAGCCTCGTCCCAGTTCTCCGCGGGGTTGGAGCAAGGACAGGCGGAGGGATCTGTAGAAGCGTTCGCGGCCAGCTGTAGGGTAGTCCTGCTCTCATCGTGTTGCTTCGCGCCCCCGACATTTCTTGATCGGCTTCAGAAAACAGGATTGCCTTAGACAGCGTGCTTCCCGATGACCCATCCGCCTGGCAGGCTGAGGAAGAAAGGAGGAACGCTGTGCCCTGGAATTTGTCTTTGCTCAGTCAGGTAAAGCGGAGAACACACAAAAAAATGCTTTTTGCCCAAATCATCTGCCTCTTTGTGTGGGAGCAGGAGGGACTCTGTGTTCGGGGAGACGGAGATTGGCTCGTGTGCTCTCTCCTCTCCTTGCTGCTGACCCTGCCCTGCAGTCTCGGACGTCAGTTGTCCCAGACTCCGGCCTGGAAGGGGTAATAAGGGCCGCGCGTCACGCTGAAAATGTGCGGAATCTTCTCTCATGGTTTTGAGAGGACGCAGGCTGGTTGTGATTGTGTTGCCGGGGGGAGACTGGTTGTGTGTGTGTGTGTGTCTGTGTGTGCGTGAGGCGTCCGTCTTCCCTCCCCGATGCCCAGAAGTGTTGCCTGATTTGTAATCAAATGACAGGTTTTGCAGACAGATAGGATCTGGGTAGGTGACTCGGCATAGTCTGTCCTGTCTCGGGCCACCTCTGTCGCCACACTGGGTGAGGTGGCATGAGTGGGTGTCCCGGCCCCGGCCGCCAGCCCTGCGGGAGTTTCTCTTTGTCGTCCTCCAGCTCCATTCCCAATGACTCCCACTAATCCCCGATTAGGGTTGACCCTCCGGGCCTGCTCGCCTCTGGAGAGCAAAAGCTTAGTGGCTCTCGCCCGCCTGCCCCTGCCCTGCCCTGGGAGACGGGACCTCCTCCCAAATGAAGCCCTGCTCTGGCCTTGAATTTTAAGACTGGAAGGACCCCGAAACTCCTGTACAAACATCTGTTGTCACATTCCCCCGCAGATGGCAAGTTCAACTTTGAGACCCAAATGCTGCGTTCATTGAGACACAGCGGGAAGGGGTGAGATGGCGCCGTTGTTGAACCTGCCGTCCTAGCAACGGGGCTGGTGTCTCCCGGCATCTGACGGCTGATCAATAACGGGCGCTCTCCTTTGACCCTGGCTGACCATTGACCCTGGCAGTGTAGGCTGCCTGGGTCAGACGGGCCGCTGGGGCTCCAGCCCTCACTGCAGAAGCCTTTGTAAACTAGACAGGGTGGTGATGTGGGGAGGGACGAGGGGAAACCGTTGTTGCTGTGCCGGCCGGTCAGGCTGATGTCAGGTGTGCTGGGAGCCCAGGCGAGCTGCCCGGAGAGCTTCGAGAAAATCTGCACGCTCCCCCACTGCCCGCTCGGACACGGTAGGTTGGCAGAGCGTAGGCACCATGCAGTGGTCTTCACATGCTCCCCGAGTAGCTTCTCACCCGTGAGAAGTCCCTTGGTGCACACCTGTCCCTCAGCCAGCCACCAGTCAAGCAGGGTCCCTCCCACCCTGTGACATCTCTGCTCTGGTGTCATGGACACTGAATTCCCGTTCACCTGGTGGCCGGTTCAGACATAGAGAACGGAGCGCTCCCAGGGCTGCCCCAGTCACCAGCCTGGACGTACCCCCTTCCTTCGATGATCGTTGGTTACCCCAGCCATGGTGCCCCCCCCCCAACACCCACCTGGAAGGCTCTGGAAGCCAGGGTGCTTGTGGACAGGCAGCCCCTCTCGGGGCTGATGCTGCTGGGCCACCTGTGGGGAGCACTAGCCACAGGGCGAGGGCTGTGTCCTGTGGCTGGGGCTTCGGACCGTCTAGAAAAGGCCCGCCCAGCTCTGCAGAGGACCTCAGTTAGGAGGGTCACCAGAGCTATTTGTTGCTTTAGTCATTTGCCCGAGGATTTTTTCAGAGGAATGTTCTCAATGCAAATGACCAAGACCGTGGGACCATTTGTGGTCTTTGTAAAAAAAAAGACGCCGTGTCAACTTAAAACGTATTATTAATAGCTCTGACTTTTATATGAGCTTTGACATTTTCAAAAGTAAACATAGCGACAAGACTTCACAGTTTTCCTGTCTCACCACGAGCTCTGAGTGACGCTCACAAAGATCTGAGCTCCTTGAGCAGCATCAGGGGCCACGACACAGGAGGTCTGTTGGTAAGAGCATGAAGGTGACATTGGGTCAGGGCTGTGGACCTGCCCCACCCCCTAGCGGGTAGCCTGTCTGCTGCCCAAACATTCAGGGCTCTCTCCATGTGGGGCCTGCGCCTAGATCATTCCTTTCGTCCTGAGCACTTAATTAACCTTCCTCATTCTTTGACTTCTGTAAACCTTCTGGTCTCAGTGCAGAGGTCCCCCCGCCATCCTCCCATCCAAGAGGATGCTGTCTCCCAGCCCCTGGCCACCTGTCCTGGTCCCCGCACCTTGTGTCCTCATCAGCTCCTGGGATCGGGGGCCAGCCCAGAACCCCGTCTGTCCAGGCGCAGCCTCCTTGGTGCCCAGCGCAAGGCTGGCTTGGAGCCGGCGGTGGCCAGGGGCTGAATGACAGGCCCTGGCAGGAACTTGTCACCAGACGGGGAGGAATGGTGACGATGTGGATCACCCCGTCTGGACATAGGCCTTCCCTGCTTGGGAGCCGGCCAAGCCTGGGCATGACGAGCTGTTTAAGGGGCTTTGTTTTTCCCTTCTAAAGAATCAACAGTCAAGGAGGCTCTCTGATGACTTTGCACATTGCCCATACGAAAACCCGGGACTCGGCTCCATGCCCTCACCCATTCTCCCGAAGAGACAGGAATCGAGGGGAAGGAAGAGTGGGTGTAGTGTTAACGTCGACGAAAATGCAGCCAAAGCTAACTTCCATTCCCATCGGCCAGGTCGTGGGCTGCTGAGGAGGGAGGGGACTTCTCACACGCAGCTCGCAGCTCAGTAGAGCAGCGTTTCGGCTGGGAGGCACCTCCGTGTGACCTTGGGCGAGCCCTGACCTCTCTGTGCTTCATCTGCAGAAAGACGGTGCCTTTGGGATCAGTCTGGAAAACCGAATCTGCTGGGAGGGGGTTGAGGTCTGCGTGGGGGTATTAGCAAGTAGCCAGTAAAGGTGGGCTGTTTTCTTGTGAAGTCTCCCTTAAAAAAAAAAAAAAAAGAAGAAAGAAAAGAAAAAGCAACTTAAAAAAAACCCAACTTTTAATTTTTTTATTGCTTTTAGATACATAGAAAAGTTGCAAAAATAATTCAGAGTTTCCATACATTCCTCACCCAGGCTTACAGAACCGCAGCCAAGACATTAACGTCGGCACAATGTTACCGTACTTCCTAGTGCCGTGATATTAACAACGTGACAGTATAAGAAATTAACAGTTGGCACAAAGCCTTGAGACTGAAGGCCTGACTTGAAGCTCACCTGGTCTGCCAGTGTCCTTGTATCCTTCCCGGATCCCAGCAGGTCCCGCAGGCCCGGAGCTGTGGCTTCTCCGGGTCGTGCGAAAGTCCGTCGTAGTTTCCTAGTCTTTCCTTGTGTTTCACAACCTTGACAGCTTGGAAGAGGACTGATTGTGATTTTGCCAAACGTCCCTCAATTTGGTGTTTACACGGGGTTGGACTGTGGTTATACAAACCACGGAAATGATGTGCCCCTATTAACGTCCCGTAGCATGGGCTTCGTGACGTCAGAGTAGTCACGGCAGGGGCCTTGGCCTTGATCCCCCGGTGAGGATGGTGTCTGCTGGGTTTTCTTCCAGATACCTGTGTCTCTTCTTCTGTCCTCCCCTTGGTGGTGAACGGCTCTCCTGGGGAGCTCCTTTGAGACTGTTACAAATCCGCTACTTGTCAATCTTCTGCTGATTGATTTTGGCCCCATCGTGTATCTGGTCTGCTGGACGATGGCTCTGTTTCCTTCTCTCCCACATGGATTCCTTGCAATTCTCCTTCGAGAAAGAGCTACCACTTCTCTTCCCTGTCCTTGATGACTTGCGTCCGTGTGGACTCTCGGGGATTTATTTTATTCTGTGGTCTGTAATCTGACACCACGGCCACTTGCGTGGTTGGTGGAATTGCTCTTGTGTTGGCCGGTAGGGCCTTTCACGGTAACCTCTTGTGTTCTGCCTTCAAGATACACAAACAGACATCGACTTAGCACTTCCCTTCTTCATGATCCCACAAGATGTTTGTTCTAGACTCATCTCGTATTTTTCATTCTCTGCTCTTCCTGCCCGGGTTCAGCCACTTCGTGGGGCAGCGCTGATGCCTTTTACTGGAGAAGTGCTTGGAAGCCAAGGTCTGGGCATCCGATGTGCCTATTACTGTCAGGGTCTCATGGCTTCTAGACCCTTCTGGTGGACAGACGTAGGAGGTGTGGCTGTGTCTGCCAGCAGCTCACAGGCTCATTTCTGTTGTTCTGTCCCTTTCTGTCTGTCTGGAGGCTGATGCCTCATGTTCTGGTTCAGCAGCAGAATTCCGTCCACTTTCCTCTCCTCATTTGTATCCTCCCTCTCCAAGAGGCAGGCGTCTGGTCCTTCCTGTCTCTGACATACTGACTTATTTGGTCAGTTCTCTGAGACACATACAGCAGTTTCTGCCTTGCTAAGCTGCTCCCCTGTGAGACACAGGCTGACGGACCAGGGTACGCATTTATGCAGTCAGGATGTCGTCTTCCGGAGCTCCTCCGGTTAGATCTGTGTTTTCCCACCCTTCGGGGAGTGATGGCATCATGGGTAATGCGCTTAGTTTCATTTGTTTGTTTGTATTTCTTCGGGGTTCCTCCCACATCCTGATTTTTTTAATCCATTTTTTTTAATCCAATGATTTGGGATGCCGCGTTTGTTATCCACGATGTTTCTCTGTGCGGATCTGGCCCACTGGGTCGTCTGTGTCCACGCACCTGTTCTGCACAGGGGTGATCGGGGTTCTGCGGTCTTGGATGGGGGAGGGCTCATCCTCCTCTCCTCGTGCTTTTCTTTTCTTGGTGCTTTCCCAGCGACTGTGTGCGTAAAGTCCTGCTCTGGGCTAAAGTGAGGTGGCATCCGCACTTGGACAGAGTGTGACAGGTGTAGCAGCACAAGCTTGTGTCCCATCTGAGCCCTGGGTTTCCTGCAACCCAAGGACTAGGCCCTTTGGAAAGGACCCAGGGAACCTCTGGGTCTTTATTTTAATTTAAAAATTCATTTCCTCTGGGTACCCACTCCTTGATGTTCAGTGTCCCAGCAGAATCTTTTCTGGGTTTTAGCTTAGAAGGTGTCAGAAGGAGGAGTGTCGAGAGTGTATCCACCCATCCTAGGGTGGGTGGGGGGGTGGGGGTTGGTGCCAGGTGCTTGAGGTGTGCCCCACCCACAGCGGCTCCTCCAGGCAGCCCAGGCAGCTGAGAGCACCCCTGCCCGCCCCTGCCCAGCACGGCCTCCCACCCTTCCCCTCCCCGAGCCCGAGGCACGCCCCCGCCCCTGGCCGGCCACTCACGCTGCTCCAGCCGAGGTCAGTGTCTGTGCAGCAGGCCGGACGGTGACCTCATCCCTCTTGAGAAGTAGATTTAATTCCTCCCTGATGATTTTTAGGGGGTGAGATAGATGTTAAAGCTGGGCGCGGTTGGACGCGTCTAAGTGACAATGTTCTGGGTCTTTTCGGTTCACTCTGGGCCATCAGGAATTCTTAAGAAAAAGCCTCAGGGTAACTCCACGGCTTGCCAAAAGAGCTTTGGTGCCATTTCGTACGATTTTATTCTCCTGCCCTTGGTCGTGGCTTGTAGTTGCCGAGTGGACCCAGAAGACCTTGGGTGGTGGGTGCCCGGCAGCCATGAAGGTCTGTGAAGCCGGGGCTCAAGAACCCGCTCCTGGGGCACAGCCAGCAGCTGGTGGATCTTTAGGAGAGGTGGCCAGCCCTTGGGGGGGGTGCACCATGTGGAGCAGGGAGAGGTGACCCTAAAACCAGAGAGAGAGCTGGCTTTTCACGGAAGAAGCAGAGGACAGAGCCCTTGACCTTGCTGGGCTTGGCCAGATAGCGCGGTGGACCCGCAGAGCCACACCCAGCACCCTGCCCCTTGTAAACGTGAGCTTTCAGAACCTTCTCTGCGGTCTTTACGGACAGATCTCCGGTTTAGTCGTGTGTTCCTTGCTTCTGACCTGCTCTGGTAACTGATCCCAGCCCCGGGCGCCTTATGTCGTGTGCGGGTTCTCAGGTGCGGGGATGTCGTGCTATGTGAGCGCGGCTGCTGCTGGAGGCAGAGTTAACCGAAAGGGGTCAGATTCCCAGTTCCCAGGTTTCTAGAACTTTCTCCCTGGTATATAATCATGCTGGCGTGCCCTCACCATGCCTTTCCTTCTGTTCTAGGGCCCGCTGCTCCTGTCCTTCGAGGAGGACCCGCTCCAGCAGCCTCTGGAGCTCACAGTGCAGGGCGTCTCCAGTCTGGCCAGGTCCACCCAGGAGAAGGTGAGCTGGGCACGGTCGCCCCCGGGCCCTTCCCCACCGAGGAAGTGAATTTAAAGCTGAGCTGGGGGGAGCGGGGAGGTTATTCTGTTTTGGGATTATTGAAAACGTGGACACCTTAAAAACCTAAAAAAAAAAAAACAAACAAAAAACGAAAAACAAAATTAAGGGTGGTCTATAGCTGATGGATGGGTAAATAAAACGCGGCAGGTCCACACGCTGGGACGGCATTTGGCCTTGAGAAGGAAGAGAGGCCGGCACATGCCACGTACACGGGCCTTGAAGACACAGCGCGGAGTGGGAGAGGCCAGTCACGGAAGGCACGTCTTTGAGTGGCTTCATTTACGTGGCCTGTCCAGGGTGGCTATGTTGATAGAGACAGGAAGGAGATTCAGGGTCGCCGGGCCCTGGGGTGGGGGGGCTGCCGAGGGACTGCCCGTGGCGGGGTTGACTTTGGGGGGTGATGATAAGATTCTCAGAGTCGTGGATGATGGTTGTACAAGTCAGAAATGTGTTAACAACCATTGACTTGGGGGCGCTTGGGCGGCCCAGTCCATTAAGGGTCCAACTCTTGATTTCAGCTCAGGTCATGCTCTCAGGGTCCTGGGATCGAGTCCCGCTTTGGGCTCCATGCTCAGCAGGGAGTCTGCTTGAGTTTCTCTCTCTCTCCCTCTGCTCGCTCGCTCTCTCTCTCCCACAAATAAACATATAAATCTTAAAGAAAAAAACACTGAATTATACAGTTTAAATGGGCAAATTAAACGATACGTGAATTGTGTCCCCAGAAATGCATATATTTGTGTGTGTGTGTATATGAGACACTGGATGGTTTTTAAAGCTTTTATCTGAGAGAGAGAGAGCAAGAGAGGGAATGAGCAGTGGGGAGGGGCAGAGGGAGAGGGAGAAGTAGGTTCCCCACTAAGCTGGGAGCCTGATGCGGGGCTTGATCCCAGGACCCTGAGATCATGACCTGAGCCGAAGGCAGAGGCTTTAAGCCACTGAGCCCCCCAGGTGCCCCGAAACCTAGGTCCGAACCATCCAGATGCCATGTCGAGCTCATTTTGGAGTCTGTGGTTATTTACAGGCTGGGATTACTTATTAGACTGGTCAAATACCGTGAATAATTTATAAGATTTTTTTAATGGAAAGTATCTGTAAAAACCCCTAAGAAACTTCCTCGAAAATACAAGGCTTGCCCTTGTATCTGTCTCCGTTTTGCTGTGGGGTCCCTTGCTGCTAAAGAGCCCTTTAGCAGATGGGGGTGGGGGCAGGGAGGGAGGCACACCTGCTGGAGAAAGAAAGCACTCTGGCCCCGATCCCCGCCCCGATCCCCCCTCCCCCACGGATTCTGCTCCCTGTCCCCACTAGCATAGCGTTAACCAGCTCTGGTTCCTTCACTTGAACTACAGTTCAGGGCCCTGGAGGGACCAGAGCTTCTGTCTTCATCCCCCACGGATGGACAGGGGAGCTGCCCTCTCTTTCCCAGCAGAGCAGCGAGGCTGCCGTGAACTCGCCTGCTTACTGTCCCCGCCTCCTCAGGCACGAGCAGGGGAGTGGATCAGGGGCAGCCGTGGGCTGCGAGGCTGCAGGTGTGCCCGCTGCAGAGTGCCCAGCTGTCCCAGAATGGGTCAGCAGGGCACTGCTCCCCGCCCACTGGGCCCCAGCAGCCTAGGAGGGCTCTCCTTCCCCACCTCCTTGCCAATACTGGAGCCTTGTGCTGTGTTACTCCTGTAACAAGTGTGGGGACGTCTCTAGAAGGTATTGGGTTACGAGAGACCCTAGGCTGGTATAGCTCAGGATGCCGAGACCAGCAGGGCGCATTAGGGCTGGACGCGGCTGGGCCAGCAGGTGGCCCGGGGCTTCTACAATACTGGGGGGCCAAGGGCAGTTGGCACCCCACCCCCCGGCCTGGGAAGTGCCTCTGGGTGCAGCGAGCCCCCTCTCTCTTTTCGACTGATCAGGACCGAGTCCCGCTGTGGTGGGCACTTGGTGTTTGGTGTTTCTGACTCTGCCCTGGTTTCCGAGGCCCAGAGGTGTAGACGGGGGAGCTGACAGGTAGACGTAGGAAGGGGCTGTTTTTCAAGGTCTTGATATTTCGCGCTAGAAGAGCAACTTTACGTAGGGGCTGGTGAAATTGTGTTTACCTGAAGACAATTACAGAAGCGGTGCTCGCTCATGCAAAAGTTGAGCATGAGGCCGCCGTCCGCCCTGGCCCCCTGCACGGAGCGTCCTTCCTCCGCTCCCCCCGGAAGGGCCCGCTGCCCGCGGCCCATGGCGGATGCTCGAGCTCCTCATGTCCCACAGACAAATGGCACAGTGCATGTGGGGCATGTTTCGTTTTACCAGTTTCTTCATTGTTCTTGGCTTTTATGTTTCCTTGGCCAATGGGAAATGGGGGCTTGTCATTGCCTTGTCCTGGCTGTGGGTAGTGGTGTCCCCGTCGGGTGTCAGGCCCCTGCCCCCCGGCCAGGGGTGTGGGAGAGCAGGTCCCAGGGGGGTGGTGGTGGTGACGACTGCCCCTGTCACTTACCAGCCCGTGGCCTCCACACACCCATAGCTCCTGAGAAGTTGGGTGTAGGATGCCCCCAAGTCCGTGGGTCCCGCCACCACCTTCTCTACTCACGGCTGGGCGTCTTGGCTGAGCACGGCACGTGAAAGCGCTATTTTGTAAAGGGATCACCCCCGGGTGAATCAGAGTTTCTCTTGCAGTGTGTCCCCAGGTGGGGGGTGCCGGGTGTTAACGTCTGTGGGCATCAGAGGAGGGGGGCACACGCCACGGGATCTCTCTACTGTTGCTCTAGGACCTCGTGTTCTGGAACCGCTGCGTCGGGCAGGACGCTTCCAGCAACCAGGTCCTCCTCCTCTTAGGCTCTAACCACTGCCCTGCCCGGGTTTCAGGCGCGTTGAACCCTCTCTCTGCTCTGTCCTGTTGTGCTCTGCAGAGTGCTGGAGGGGGAAAATCTGTAATTGCACTCGGGGCCACCAGCAAAGGTTGTGAAGAAATACAGATGCGTGGTTTCGAGGACGTCCCCCTCCCTTCCTCGGCGTGCTCCGTACCATCAGCCTCTATCTTTCTCATGTCCCTGACTCAGCCCTGACAAGGGACGTGTGACTGGCACTTGAGCTAATGACGAGCCCCACCGTGGGGCTGGAGTACACAGTCCCGTCATCTAGATGGGAATGGGGATCCTGGTCCCCCTTTGTGCTCACCCTCCTCACTCGAGTTCAGTGTCGAGTCTCCCCGCGGGCCTGCCCTGCTCTCCGGGTGCCCTGAACTTGACCTTCTCCTGCCACCCTTGAAGACCGCCGTGTGCCTAGTCATGGTCTTGGCAGACATCTGATCGCCCAGCGACCCCCACCCCCACGTCCTGCCTGGAGAGCAAGGTCTTCGTCGCTTGGAGCAGCATGAGGTGGCAGAGCCCATGATGGGGGCCGGACGCACGGCCTGCCCAGCCGTAGCTCGGTCGGAGCACAGTGGCCTTGGTGCGCACTAACAGCAGCGGGGCGGGCTTCTCCTTCCAGTGCTCCTTCCCAACTCGCTGGACGCCCACTGGGGGTTCGCGAACTCCTATCTGTCCTGACACCGACCCCCCAGAGGCAGTGCAGGCCCCGCAGGCTGAGGGCACAGCCCCACACGACTGCCCCCCCTTCAGATGCCAGCCCCAAGGCTGGGCCCCCTGGTCTTCAGATCCACCGGCCGTAACGTGAGGGGGTTCCCGCCCCTCCTCAGGTTTGATAATTTGCTGGGACAACTCAAGGAACTCAGGAAAACAGCTTATTTCCTATTACTGGTTTGTGATACAGGAAACAAGTCAAGAATAGGCGGGTGGGAGGGAGGCCTCCGGTGGGGTGTGGGGGAGGGGCCCGGAGCTACGGGCACCTCCTTGCATAGACCATCCCAGGAGCTCTGCAAACACCATTGCTTGCTTGTTTGTTTTTTTTAAAGATTTTATTTATTTCTTTGACAGAGAGATCACAAGCAGGCAGAGAGGCGGGGGGTTGGGGGAAACAGGCTCCCAGCTGAGCAGAGAGCCCGATGTGGGGCTCGATCCCAGGACCCTGAGACCATGACCTGAGCCGAAGGCAAGAGGCTTAACCCAGGGAGCCACCCCAGTGCCCCTGCTTGGGGGGTTTTATGGAGCTTTCATGACCCAGGTTGGGTAAATGACTGGCTTTGGTGGTTGAACTCAATCTCCAGCCCCTCTCCCCTCCCTGGAGGCCAGGGGTGAGCCTGAGAGTTCCAACAGCCACCCCCCCGACATCATGGCTGGAGTTGGGGGTAACCAGACCCCATCCTGAAGCATACACAGCCCCCAACCACCAGTCATCTCCTTAGCACACAGAAAACCCTCTTATCCTTTGGGTGATCCACTGGTGCCAGGAGCCGTGAACCCAAAACTGGGGACGAAGCCCCATTACTGACCCCAAGCAGGTGTTGTGGGTCATGGGTTTTCCTGCGGGGAGTCCGTGCTTGTCCCACAGGACATCCTCTCGGGCATAGACTGGACTCATCCCTGTCACCTGGCCTCCATGTTGGGCACAGCTGGCCCAGGCGGGAGGCAGGACCCGGGAATTCCCAGCGCGACACTGCGCACTGAAGCAGTCACCTTTACGCTCCTCTCCAGGGGCTCCTCTGCCTTCTCTTCCAGTCGCAACCTGCTCTGAATGGATTCCTTCCTCCCAGACTGTAATTACCCTCTTACACAAGAGCAACGAGTTTCTACCCACGTTCTCTTTCTGCACGTCCCGGGAGAGGCTCGCTGCGGAACGTCTGACCCAGAAAAGGCAGGCCTCTGTCTCTGTGTCGCAGTTGGCCTGAGAGCGAGCCCTTGCTCCATAGGGCGTCCCAGGAGCCCGATCACGGCATGGCCGTGGGTTCAGAAACTGCACACTTGGTTGCATGGAGACGAGAGGTGTGCAAGGAGCACGTGGGGACTCACCCCGTCTGAATCAGGGTTTTGGGGGTTGTGCTGGGACCCCCGCTGAGAAGGCCGTGCATTTCC